GCATTTTTTTTATTATTATTATTATCATCATCATTACTAATAAGTTTTTTTAAAAGAGACAGCCAATGTGTTATATTATTAAATTTTTATTAATTTTTACCAACAATAACAATAAGTTAAGGTATTTGAATGATTTTACTCGAAAGAAAAAAGAGAAAAAAAATTTATTATTAGCAAAATAAAAGCAAAATGTTTACAATTTTTTTTTTTTTGTGTTTGTGTTGTCGAACGTGAAATTTAACATCAGTTTTTTGCAAAAATTGTTATCACGATTACATTTTTAGGCCTTTGTTGTTAAAAAAAACTTAGTGCCATATTAAGTTTTTAATTATTTTTTTTTTTTTAAAGGCGTGGACATTTTTTTGTTAAAATCAATATCTGCAGTGATAAAATTAATCTAAAATTGATATTATATATATATATATATTTTTTTTTTTTATAGTAAGATATATATTTTTATTTTAATATTTATATATATATTATTTTCCTAAAAAAAAAAATAATTTTTTTTCTTTCAATTTAACCGAATAAATTTTTTTAAAATACAGTATTATTATTATTATTATTAATTTCACAGTTTTCTATGTTATTTAAAAAAAAAAAATTTAAACATTGCTTTTATTATACAATAATAATAATAATAATTTATTATCACTTCTGTGCTTTTTTTCTTTTTTGTCTTGTCTTTAGGAATAAAAAATTTTTTACACGAACAAAATTTATTTTACTAACATTTTCATTCAGGTATTCATGTTCATACCTTGATAAATTTTTAATTATTTTTTTAAAGGTAAAGTCATTGAATAATTGAAAAATTTTTTTTTAATTGGCTGAAGTGTGTGTAAAAAAAAAAAAAAAGTTTTTTTTAAGCTTTGAAAGAATTTCAATGTAATTAATTATTTTTTATTGTTGCTTATTAATATAAAAAAAATTTTATGCTTTATTATTATTATTATTTTTTTTTATTTTTATTTAAATTGTAAGAATATTTTGTGTAAATAATTAAAGTTTTACAATTTTTTTTTTTTGAAATTTGTGTAATAATTTAGAGAGAACGTCATATTTACATGACAATAAACATTTTAAACATCCTCGGGATTTTTTTGTTTTAAGGTCATGATAACTTTTAAGTATTAATTGTGTTTACATTTTGCAGATAATCATGTCAAATTAGTATAGTAATCATTGACAAAAAGAATTTAAATTTTTTTTTGTTTTTTTTTTTTTATTGTTTATTAAAAAACGGATTATTTTAACATCAAATATTTTTACAAGATAGGTTTTTTTCACATTCGTGTTCATTTTATCCGTTTTCTTTTTTAAAATATTAATACTTTTAATTTTTAATATTGTTTTATATTAAAATTAAAATGAAAACGATTCGAAATGTAATCAAATAAAATAAATTGGGCGAGTTTAAAAAAAATTTTTTTGTTTTCGAATTATCAGTGAAACGTTTTTACAAACTTTTTTCGCGGAAGTTTTTTTTTACGTACGCGGAAGTTGCCTTATGTAAGTTTTGAACCAGTTTTCAGCAGACGCTTGTGTTTACAAGTAGTGATTATTTCGAAAGCTGAAGTATTCAAACTTAAAGTTAAAATTTAATTATTATTATTTAATTATAAAAAAAGGTGGTTATTTAATTTTTTAATATGAGTCAGGGTGAAGGTTTAGTGAAAAGACGAAATATAGCTAGTAAAGAATATGTCGAGGGTTCTTGTAATTCGAGAGAAAATGATCATGATGACACTAAAGTCGAGGGCAATGAAGATGATGACGGAGATTCAAAGGATACTAGATTGACTTTAATGGAAGAAGTTTTACTTCTTGGTTTGAAAGATAAAGAAGTACGTTTAAATTAAAATTAATTTTTAAAAAAATTGACAAAGAGATTTTTTTAAAAAAATAAAATGGTTACGTCACATGTTTTTTTTTTATGTTTATGTTCGTCCACAATGCTTGTGCTTACGTAGATGGTATTTAAATATTTGTCATTATTTATTATTATTGCAGGGTTATACTTCTTTTTGGAATGATTGTATTTCAAGTGGGTTGAGAGGATGTATATTGATTGAACTTGGACTTAGGGGAAGAATTGAATTAGAAAAAGCTGGAATGAGGAGAAAGGGTTTGTTAAATAGAAAGATACTAGTCAAAAATGATGCATCAACAGGAGATGTTTTGTTGGATGAAGCATTAAAACATATGAAAGAAACTAGCCCACCAGAAACAATTCAAAGTTGGATAGAATACTTAAGTGGTAAAATGATCACACCTATATAAATTAAATAAATTGTTTCATTGTAAAATCAAGTATTTTATTACATGTCCTAAATAGCAAGAGTGCAATCAATTTTTTAAAACAGTTTTAGTTTCATTTCATAATTTTTATTTAAATATTATTAATTTTATGTTAATAACTTACCAAATATGGACAGTGTTTATTTTAATTAATTTTTGTAATTGTATGTATATATATATATATTTGTGCAGTCATTTTTAAATTAAAAATTAATCATTTTTTAACTTTCTAAATTTAAATAAAATTTAAACTTGCTTCTATTATCAAATGCCCTTGAATAAATGTCAAAAGTTAAACTTTCTTCTTTAATGTGACAACTTTTGTTTTTATAAAATATTTTTTTTTTTTCTTTTTTTTTTTTTGGGAGTTATTTAAAAAAAAATTTTTTAATAATTAATATATTTATATATATGTTTTTAGGTGAAACATGGAATCCATTAAAACTTAGATATCAGTTAAAAAATGTTAGAGAAAGATTGGCGAAAAATTTAGTTGAAAAAGGAGTTTTAACGACGGAAAAACAAAATTTCATTCTATTCGACATGACAGTGCATCCCGTAACGGATAACATAGCTAAATCTAGATTGGTTAAAAAAGTTCAAGAAGCTGTTTTAGTGAAGTGGATAAATGATCCTCACAGAATGGATAAAAGACTATTGTCATTAATTTGTCTCGCACATGCTTCGGATGTTTTAGAAAATGCTTTCGCACCTTTAAACGATGATGATTATGAGCTTGCTATGAAAAGAGTTCGAGAGCTTTTAGATTTAGATTTTGAAACTGAAAGTATGAAACCGAATACAAACGAAGTTATTTGGGCTGTTTTTGCATCCTTCACAAAATGATGGTAATATTATTATTATTATTATTATCAATTATTGTTATTATTAACACGAATAATAATATTTATTATCATTTATAATCATTTTTACAATTATTGAGTAATTGTTAAAAAAGTAAAATAAATTCTAAGTGGCCAGAATATTAAAAAATAAAAAATATTTATATTACTTTGAATTAAGTAAAATATAAATGGCAAAATTATATGAAGTTAAAGGCACTTGAAAAAAATTATCAAAGTTATCATTACTCTTAATGAGTATAAAAAAAATTTTTTTTACATAATATAAAAAGTGTAAATGATATTTTAATAAAAAAAATAGTTAGATCTATATTAAGGGCTACTACTACTACTACTACTACTACTCGAGGTGATGTGTTCTTTTTTTTTTTTTTTTTTTATTTTGATTTTATATATTTTATTCCAGTTATATTTTAATTATATAAAATATTTTCCCGATTACAAATAATATGACTTACCATCGTAATTATTATTATTATTTTAAACTCTGAATACTGAATTGAATTTTTTTTATGCATTTTATTATTATTATTATTATTATTAAAAGATAAAAATGATATGTATTATATATATATATTGATTGTAAAAGATGTAATAATAAAATTAATCTCATTTACAAAAAATTATAATTTTGATATTATATTATGAAAAAAAAAAACATTTTGTATAAGTAAATTATATTTCGATTTAATTTTTCATTTTCAAAATGGAGTATTTTAAAATTAGTATTGTGTATAAAAAAAAAAAAAAGAAAAATATCAGATCATATTCAGTTATTATTATATATTGGAATTGTTTAAATGCATTTATTTTATTGTTTTTTTTGTTTTTAATCGAATTAATTTTTAAGTATTATAAATAGTTGAATAACAGGAGTTGATAATCAATCAATGTGTTTTAAGGTTCCTGTAAGTATTTTTTGTAAAAGTCTCAAAATTATTGTTAAACATTCGATAAGTAGGGATAAATAAAAATAAAAATTTGTAATATATATATATATATATACGTATACACACTCACACACCTACACACGTGTACATTTACACACTTACACACGTGTACACACACATAAACACACACACACACACACAATGCTCGTATTTATTCATAAAAAAATGTAATAAAAGGCTATTATTATATTAAGTAATAATAATAATAAAATTAAAAAAAAAAAAAAATTTAAGTTGTTTGTATATATTGTTATGATCCCGTACTCAATATTCACATTTTCAAATTTTTATAAACAAAAGACTGGCGACGAACTCGAATTGTTCTTCTTTAGAAGCGAAGCTTCTAAAGACTCCTTCTTTTATTTTATTTGCAAGTGTTTGCTAGTTCCCATTGTTGCTCGTTCGAAACAGTTGACTGACGAAAGACCAAAGTAATATAGGCAAGCTACACAGCTTGGCGTTGGTTCATTTGATTTTTAGTCTAGCTGTAATAAGTTCTTGTTTATTAATATTAGTTTTGTGATAGTTTTAAGTGCTTGTTCATTACTTACAAAAATAAAGAACGAACCGAATATAACATATTAAAAATTTTGGCGCAGTCGATGAAGGATCATTCTGAACGACAAGAAACCGGAGAATTCTTAAGTAATTCGTTTCATGTTGGTGGGTTTTAACTCTTTATCAGAATTTCTTTATACTGTAAGTAGTAGTTAATAGGTAACTCATTTAGTGAACAATGCCTAAACTTGATCAACCTGTTTTCAACCCATCCCAAATACCCCTTGATTTCTTGTGTAGTCTAGTTCCTAATTTCTTCTCCGGAGAAAGGAACCAACTTAACGCATTTATTGAAGATTGTGATAATGCTATCGAATTGTCCTCTGAAGAGAATAAGTATCCACTCTTCAGATTCATCTACTCCAGAATCACTGGTAATGCCAAGAATCGAATTTCTTTGTACGATTTGGATAATTGGGATGATGTAAAAACTAAACTAATAGAATTATATCAAAACAAGAAACCCCATAGTCAACTGATAAAAGAATTGATTAATCGCAGACAAAAATCAACATGTATCCACTGTGAAGATAACACAAAAATTATGGAAGGCGTCTATTTGTCACGTGCCATCGTTAAAGTAAACAATAACAACGAGGCTTACGCCACCATTTTGAATACAAGAACGACTGATGAAACAATTGAACCAATCACAGTTCGCCTTGAGAAAGCTTCAAAACAGCGTTTCCAAATAAAAAGTCTAGAACCACGACATAAAAGGAAATCAATAATAAGTAACCATTTGAGGTTAGAGCATCTTAATGAAGAAGAAAAAACATCAACAGTTAAAATTTGTGAATCTTATTCCGATATTTTCCACTTACCCGGAGATTATTTAAGTTCGACAGAGGCAATTGAGCATAAAATCAATACTATTAATGAAAATCCTATTTATACTAAAACTTACAGATATCCTGAAATACACAAAAGAGAGGTTAACAAACAGGTGACCGATATGCTGAAACAAAACATTATAAGACCTTCCAATTCTCCTTGGTCGTCTCCATTATGGGTTGTTCCAAAAAAATCTGATGCTTCTGGAGAGAAGAAATGGAGAGTAGTAATTGATTATCGAAAATTGAATGAAGTTAAAGAGAAAACAGATCCTTTACCAGAATCCAAACTTGAAGTCGAAGGAGAAAACAGATCCTTTACCAGAATCCAAACTTGAAGTTGAAGAGAAAACAGATTCTTTACCAGGATCAATTCCTGCTCAAGAGGAAAAAGCACCCTCTACAAATTTATCTAAGAAAAAGGCTAAAGAAGCACCCTCTACAAATTTATCTAAGAGAAAGGCTAAAGAAGCACCCTCTACAAATTTATCTAAGAAAAAGGCTAAAGAAGCAC